TTCTTACTGTTCAACTCCCACTTATGAGTGAGAACATGCAGTGTTTGATTTTGTTCTTGTGTTAGTTTGCTGAGAATGATGGTTTCCGGCTTCCTCCATGTCCCTGCAAAGGCATGAACTCATCCTTTTTTTTATGGCTGTATAGTATTCCCTGGTGTATATATGTCACATTTCCTTTATCCAGTCTATCATTGATGGGCATTTGGATTGGTTCCAAGTCTTTGTTATTGTGAACAGTGCCACAATGAACACATGTGTGCATGTATCTTTATAGTAGAATGATTTATAAACCTTTGGGTATATAGCCAGTAATGGGATTGCTGGGTCAAATGGTATTTCTAGTTCTGGATCCTTGAGGAATTGCCACACTGTCTTCCACAATGGCTGAACTAATTTACACTCCCACCAATAGTGAAAAAGCATTGCTATTTCACCACATCCTCTCCAGCATCTGTTGTCTCCTGATTTTTTAATGATCGCCATTCTAACTGGCATAAGATGGTATCTCATTGTGGTTTTGATTTGCATTTCTATAATGACCAGTGATGATTAGCTTTTTTTCACATGTTTGTTGGCTGTATAAATGTCTTCTTTTGAGAAGTACCTGTTCATATCCTTTGCCCACTTTTTGATGGGGTTGTTTTTTCTTGTAAATTTAAGTTCTTTGTAGATTCTGGACATTAGCCCTTTGTCAGATGGATAGCTTGCAAAGATTTTCTCCCATTCTGTAGGTTGTCTGTTTATTCTGATGATAGTTTCTTTTGCTGTGCAGAAGCCTTTTAGTTTAATTAGATCCCATTTGTCAATTTTGGCTTTTGTTGCTTTAGTCATGAAGTCTTTGCCCATGCCTATGTCCTGAATGATATTGCCTGGGTTTTCTTCTAGGGTTTTTATGGTTTTAGGTCTTACATTTAAGTCTTTAATTCATCTTGAGTTAATTTTTGCATGAGGTGTAAGGAAGGGATCCAGTTTCAGCATTCTGCATATGGCTAGCCAGTTTTCCCAACACCATTTGTTGAATAGGGAGTCCTTTCCTCATTGCTTGTTTTTGTCAGGTTTGTCAAAGATCAGATGGTTGCAGATGTGTGATATTATTTCTGAGGCCTCTGTTCCATTTCATTGGTCTGTATGTCTGTTCTGGTACCAGTACTATGCTGTTTTTGTTGCTGTAGCCTTGTAATGTAGTTTAAAGTCAGGTAGTGTGATGCCTCCAGCTTTGTTCTTTTTGCTTAGGATTGTCTTGGCTATATGTGGGCTCTCTTTTGGTTCCATATGAAATTTAAAGTAGTTTTTCCAATTTTCTGAAGAAAGTCAATGGTAGCATTGAATCTACAAATTACTTTGGGCAGTATGGCCATTTCCATGATATTGATTCTTCCTATCCATGAGCATGGAATGTTTTTCCATTTGTTTGTGTTCTCTCTTATTTCCTTGAGCAGTGGTTTGTAGTTCTCCTTAAAGAGGCCCTTCACATTCCTTCAAGTTGTATTCCTAGGTATTTTATTCTCTTTGTAGCAATTGTGAATGGGAGTTCACTTATGATTTGGCTCTGTCTGTTATTGGTGTATAGGAATGCTTGTGATTTTTGCACATTGATTTTGTATACTGAGACTTCGCTGAAGTTGCTTATCAGCTTAAGGAGATTTTGGGCTGAGATGATGGGGTTTTCTAAATACACAGTGATGTTATCTGCAAACAGAGATAATTTGACTTTGTCTTTTCCTAATTGAATACCCTGTATTTTTTTCTCTTGCCTGATTGCCCTGGCCAGAACTTCGAATGCTATGTTGAATAGAAGTGGTGAGAGAGGGCATCCTTGTCTTGTGCCAGTTTTCAAAGGGAATGCTTCCAGTTTTTGTCCATTCAGTATGATATTGGCTGTGGGTTTGTCATAAATAGCTCTTATTATTTTGAGATACATTCCATCAATACCTAGTTTATTGAGAGTTTTTAGCATGAAGGGCTGTTGAGTCTTGTTGAAGGCCTTTTCTGCATCTATTGAGATAATCATGTGGTTTTTATTATTGGTTCTATGTGATGGATTACATTTATTGATTTTTATATGTTGATCCAGCCTTGCATCCCAGGGATGAAGCCAACTTGATTGTGGTGGATAAGCTTTTTGATGTGCTGCTGGATTCAGTTTGTCAGTATTTTACTGAGCATTTTTGCATTGATGTTCATTAGGGATATTGGCCTGAAATTTTCTTCTGTTGTTGTGTCTCCGCCAGGTTTTGGTATCAGGATGATGCTGGCCTCTTAAAATGAGTTAGGGAGGATTCCTCATTTTCCATTGTTTGGAATAGTTTCAGAAGGAATGGTACCAGCTCCTCTTTGTACCTCTGTAGAATTCGGCTCTGGTCCTGGACTTTTTTTGATTGGTAGGCTGTTAATTGTTGCCTCAATTTCAGAACTTGTTATTGGCCTATTCAGGGATTCAACTTCTTCCTGGTTCAGTTCTGGGAGGGTGTATGTGTCCAGGAATTGATCCATTTCTTCTAGATTTTCTAGTTTGTGTAGAGGTGTTTATTCTCTGATGGTAGTTTGTCTGTGGGATTGGTGGTGATATCTTATTTTTTATTGCATCTATTTGGTTCTTCTCTCTTTTCTTCTTTATTAGTCTGGCTAGCAGTCTGTTTCGTTGATCTTTTCAAAAAACCAGCTCCTGGATTCATTGATTTTTTTTTTTTTTTTTTTTTTTTTTTTTTTTTTTNCTGCCTCCTTCAGTTCTGCTCTGATCTTTATTTCTTGTCTTCTGCTGGCTTTTGAATTTGTTTGCTCTTCTTTCTCTAGTTCTTTTAATTGTGATGTTAGGGTGTCAATATTAGATCTTTCCTGCTTTCTCTTGTGGGCATTTAGTGCTATAAATTTCCCTCTACACACTGCTTTAAATGTGTCCCAGAGATTCTGGAATGTTGTGTCTTTGTTATCATTGGTTTCAAAGAACATCTTTGTTTCTGCCTTAATTTCATTATTAACCCAGTAATAAACGCCCAATACAGGAGAGCCCAGATTTGTAAAGCAACTTCTGCTTTTTGTTTTTGTTTTTTTTGCTTTCTATTTGCTTGGTAAATATCCTTCCATCCCTTTATTTTGAGCCTATGTTTGTCTTTGCATGTGAGATGGGTCTCCTGAATACAGCACATTGGTGGGTCTTGGCTGTTTATCCAATTTGCCAGACTGTGTCTTTTAATTGGGGCATTTACCTCATTAACATTAAAGTTAATATTGTTCTGTGTGAATTTGATCCTGTCATTATGATGGTAGCTGGTTATTTTGGCCATTAACTGATGCAGCTTCTTCCTGCCGTTGATGGTCTCTACACTTTAGTATGTTTTTGCAGTGGCTGGTACCAGTTGTTTCTTTCCATGTTTAGTGCTTCCTTTAGGAGCTCTTGTAAGGCAGGCCTGGTGGTGACAAAATCTCTAAGCATTTGCTTGTCTGTAAAGGATTTTATTTCTCCTTTGCTTATGAAGCTTAGTTTGGCTGGATATGAAATTCTGGGTTGAAAATTCTTTAAGAATGTTGAATATTGGCCCCCACTCTCTTCTGACTTTTGTAGGGTTTCCACAGAGAGATTTGCTGTTAGTCTGATGGGCTTTCCTTTGTGGGTAACCCGACCTTTCTCTCTGGCTGCACTTAACATTTTTTCCTTTATTTCAACCTTAGTGAATCTGATGATTATGTGTCTTGGGGTTGCTATTCTTAAGCAATATCTTTGTGGTAGTCTCTGAATTTCCTGAATTTGAATGTTGGCCTGCCTTGCTAGGTTGGGGAAGTTCTCCTGGATAATATCCTGGATAATAGCCTGAAGAGTGTTTTCCAACTTGGTTCCATTCTCCCCATCACTTTCAGGTACACTGATCAAAGGTAGATTTGTTCCTTTCACATAGTTCCATATTTCTTGGAGGCTTTGCTCGTTTCTTTTCACTCTTTTTTCTATCATCTTGTATTCTCCCTTTATTTCATTGAGTTGATCTTCAGTCTCTGATATCCTTTCCTTCACTTGATTGATTCAGCTGTTGATACCTGTATATGCTTCACAAAGTTCTCGCGCTATTTTTCAGCTCCATCAGGTCATTTATGTTCTTCCCTAAACTGGTTATTCTAATTAGCAACTCCTTTTAATCTTTTTAGCTTCCTTGCATTGGATAAGAATATGCTCCTGTAGCTTATAGGAGTTTGTTATTACCCACCTGCTGAAGTCTACTTCTGTCAATTCGTCAAACCCATTCTGTGTTCAGTTTTGCTCCTTTGCTGGCAAGGAGTTGTGATCCTTTGGAGAAGAGGTGTTCTGGTTGTTGGAATTTTCAGCCTTTTTTGCGCTGGTGTCTCCCCATCTTCATGGATTTATCTGCTTTTGGTCTTTGATATTAGTGATCTTTGGATGGGGTCTCTGAGTGGACCTCCTTTTTGTTGATGTTGATGCTATTCCTTTGTTAATTTTCCTTCTAACAGTCTGGCCCCTCTGCTGCAGGTGTGCTGGTGGTCCACTCCAGACCCTGTTTGCCTGGGAATCACCAGCGGAGGCTGCAGAACAGCAAAGATTGCTACCTGTTCCTTTGGAAGCTTTGTCCCAGAGGGGCACCTGCCAGATGCTAGCCAGAGCTCTCCTGTATGAGGTATCTGTTGGCCCCTACTGGGAGGTGTTTCCCAGTCAGGATATACAGGAGTCAGGGACCCACTGGAGGAGAGTCTGTCCCTTATCAGAGCTTGAATGCTGTGCTGGGAGAGCTTACCTCTGCTGAAGCTATGCTCACAGTCACCCCTTCCCCCAGGTACTCTGTCCCAGGGAGATGAGGGTTTTATCAGTAAGCCCATGACTGGGGTTGCTGCCTTTTTTTCAGAGATGCCATGCTCACGGAGGAGGAATCTAGACAGGCAGTTTGGCCGCAGAGGCCTTGCTGAGCTACAGTGGGCTCCACCCAGTTCAAACTTCCCTGCAGGTTTGTTTACACTGTGAGGGGAAAACCACCTACTCAAGCCTCAGCAGTGGTGGACGCCCCTCCCCCCACCAAGCTCAATCTTCCCAGGTTGACCTCAGACTGCTGTGCTAGCAGCAGGAATTTCAAGCCAGTGGATCTTAGCTTGCTGGGTTCCGTGAGAGTGGGACCCACCAAGCCAGACCACTTATCCCCTTGGCTTTAGTCCCCCTTCCAGGGAAGTGAAGGGTTCTACCTCGCTGGCATTCCAGATACCACTGGGGTATGAAAAAAAAAACTCCTGCCACTAGCTCGGTGTCTGCCCAAATTGCTGCCCAGTTTTGTGACTGAAACTCAGGGCCTTGGTGGCGTGGGCACCAGAGGGCATCTCCTGGTCTGTTGGTTGCGAAGACTGGGAAAAGCACAGTATCTGCGCTGGAATGCAACGTTCTTCCTGGTACAGTCTCTCATGGCTTCCCTTGGCTAGGGGAGAAAAATCCCCTGACTCCAGATTTTCTCCTGCAGCTTCCTCACCTCTCACATTTAGATGCCATTGTGGGGTTATTAATTGGCCTAATTTCAGTACTGTTGTGTGTCAGGAAATAGGAAGGCCAGAAAAGTAGGGGAGAGAGAAGGGAATGGCCGATCAGTGGAGCAGTTGGAAGACACACATTTGTCAATCATGTTTACCCCAGGTGGTGAAGGGGCCAAGTGGTGGGGTGAGGGTTCAGGCTCACCACTGAGCCCCCTTTGAACATAGGCAGGGGGAGGGGTAGCTTCCCACTAGAACACATGAGCCCCACTGATACCATAGGAGTGGGGGGAGTTGTTTCTCCTGGATCAGGGTGAAAGTCTAGGCTCCCAATATAGCCTCCAGTGACACCATGGGAGTGGACCTCATCACCATCTTGCAGGGATAGAAGTCCCACACTCCCTACTGGGCTAGCTTTGACATGGCTCCAGCAGGAGATGGGGAGGCCTCATTACAACAGGCAAAGGAAAAGGTCTAGGCTCTCCACTTGGCCTTTGCTGATGAGGCTGTGGGGTTTGGGCCATGGGTTTTCCATGGTGTTTGCATAGAGTAGGGCAGTTACTGTCTGAGAGCTCTCCATCTTTCTAGGTTGCCCTGTCCTGATCCTTTGGCTAGAGATACCAGGCTTTGCTTAGCTGTCGGCTCCTATTGGTGTTTCTGGGGTACCAATTTCTCCAGCGCTCAATCTGAGCTATATGAGGCAAAGGAAAACCCAGGTAAGTCAATGCTGTGTTATTCCTTGGGTACTGAAGTTCCTAGCCAGTCAGTCTTCTCATCTTTCATAGTTGTCTCATGTTTGTTTTATGTAAAAGTCCAGGCTGCACTTAGTGGGAGGAATAGGGATAAGTGTGTCTACTCCTTGTCTCTTCGACTTTGTTTTGAATAGTGAATTTTCTAAAAATGTCCTAGAAAGTCAAACTATGGCTTGGTGCAGTGGCTCATGCCTGTAATCCCAGCACTTGGGGAGGCTAAGGTGGGTGGATCGCTTGAGGCCAGGAGTTTGAGACCAGCCTAGGCAACATGGTGAAACCCTGTCTGAAAAAAACAAAGCCCAAAATATTGCTACTCATTAACAATGCACCTGGTTACCCAAGAACTCGGATGGAGATGTACAAGGAGATGAATATTTTCATGCCTGCTAACATAGTATCTATTCTGCAGCCCATGGATCAAGGTGTACTTTTGATTTTCAAGACTTATTATTTGACAAATACATTTTATAATTCTCCTGATGGTTCTGGGCAAAGTCAGTTGAAAACCTTTTGGAAAGGATTCACCATTTTAGATGCCATTAAGAGCATTCGATTCATGGGAGGAGGTCAAAATATCAACATTAATAGGAGTTTGGAAGGAATAAGAGGGTTTCAAGACTTCAGAGGAGGAAGGAACTGCAGATAGGGTGAAAATAGCAAGAGAATTAGAAGTGGAGGAGCCTGGAGATGTGACTGAATTGCTGTAATCCCAGGATCAAACTTGTGTGGATCAACAGTTGCTTCTCATGGACGAACAAAGAAAATGATTTCTTGAGATGGAATCTACTCCTGGTGAAGATGCTGTGAACATTGTTGAAATGACAACAAAAGATTTAGAATATCCCATAAACTTACCATTGGCAGGGTTCGAGAGGATCGACTCCTAATTTTGAAAAGTTCTACTGTGGGTAAATGCTGTCAAACAGCATCATATGCTACAGAGGAATCTTTCATGAAAGAAGAGTTAATCAATGCAGCAAACTCCACTGTTGTCTTATTTTAAGAAATTGCCACAGTTACACCAGGCTTCAGCAACCACCACCCTGATCAGTCAGCAGCCATCAACATTGAGGCAAGACTGTCCACCAGCAAAAAGATTATGACTCAAAGAATGGTTGTTAGAATTTCTTAGCAGTAAGGTATTTATTTAAAAATTATCTTTTCCTACCCTCCTCTGACATGTAAAAGTATTTTTAAATTAATATGTGTACATTATATTTTAGGCATAATACTGTTGCTCACTTAAAAAAAAACTATAGTGTAAACCATTTTATATGCACTGAAAAAGCAAAAAATTCATGTGACTTGCTTTCTTGTGGTATTTGGTTTATTGCAGTGGTCTGGAACTGAACCCATAATATTTCTGAGGTATGCCTGTATTCAAAAAGCTGAGTGAAACCCCAATAAATCCGTGATAGGACAGACTTCTGAAAACTAAAGACAAAGAAAAAAGCTTGAAAGTGTCAAGAAAGAAATGACATCTTACCTATAGGGAAAAGTAACGCAAATGACAGATTTCTCTTTGTAAACCATGGAGGCAAGAAGGAAGTGAGACCAATTACTTTAGAGTGCTAAAAGAACTGTCAGCTGGTGGCTGAGCACAGTGGTGCATGCCTGTAATCCTAGCACTTTGGGAGGCCAAGGTGAGTGGATCACTTCAATTCAGGAGTTTGAGACCAGCCTGGTTAACATGGCAAAATTCTGTCTCTACTAAAAATAAAAAAAATTAGCTAGGCATGGTGGCCTGTGCCTGTAATCTCAGCTACTTGGGAGGCTAAGGCATTAGAATTGCTTGAACACAGGAGGTGGAGGTTGCAGTGAGCCAAGATCCTGCCACCGCACTCCAGCCTGGGCAACAGAGTGAGACTGCCTCAAAACAAAACTGTCAACTCCAAATTCTGTATCTGGTGAAATGTTCCTTCAGGAATGAAGGGGTAAGACGTTCTTGGATGATGAAAAACTAACATAATATGTTGAATGGTTCTACCCTGTAGACCTTGAATAAACCTACCCTAATGGAAGGTCTTGAACCAGAAACGTTTAAAAAAAAAAAAAGTCTTGGAATGTCAGGAAGAATGACAGAAACAGCAAAAAATGGGTAAATACAATAGACTTTTTCCTTCTTGTGTTTTCTAAATTATTTGGTAGTGAAAGCAAAATTGTCTGATGTGGATCTCAATGTACATAGCAGATATATTTAAGACAATTATCAATAGAGTGGGGAGGGGACGGACAAGAGAGTTAAGTTTTCTACATTTCACTCAAATTGGTAAAATGCTGACATCAACAGATCTTTATATGGCAGTGAAGCAGTTCTGTATCTCAACTGTCTTGGTAGGGTTACAGGAAGATAAGATGGCATAAAATGATATACGCTGTGCAAAAATCAATTTCCTGTAGTTATGTAAGATGAATCTGTACTGTCTTTTCAATTCCCTGTAAGTCTATAACTAGTGCAGAATCAAAAGCTTTAAAAAGTGTAGGATGACAGTGTTGAATATGCTGCTTTAAAAGGGACACATAGTTATAGTGGCTTAGATTAAAAAGGGAGGACAAGGATGAGATGATAATCCTCTCCCCTGACTAATTCCAGTTGAGGATTAAACATCTCTCTTCCCGGTATACTTCTCTTACAATTTATTAGAAAGCTAGTTACTTAATAACAGAGATAACTAAAGAGATACTAATTTTCATGGAAACTCATCACAGTGTATTGAAACTGATACTTTTGTGCTACTAACATTTAGTAAAAATAGTTTTAGTAAATAAAATCTCCACTTATTTCAGTGAAAATGGCAAGAAGAAAATGTAATCAAGTCATAAGATTATCCTGCTATGTGAAATACGCTGCTCCCCAAAGGACTGTGGCAAGATTGATTTTAAATAGAAAATATCTCCGATTTTAAATATATTTAGATTATAATTGCCTGGGAATTGGCAAACTTTCTCATTTCCATAAAGGGCCAGATACTAAATACCTTAGGCTGTACAGGCTTTCAGATATCTCTCTCACAACTATTCACCCGTGCAGTGTAGCGTGAAGGCATCCACAAACAAAACATAAACACATAGGTGTGGCTGTTCCAATAAAACCTCACCAAACAGGCAGCACAGGCCACACACAGTATGCTGCCCCCTGCACTAGCTCATCTCAGTTTACCTGTCCTCTAGTTAGTAAAAAAGAAATCCAAAATTAAATTACACAAAAGTAATTCTTAAAAATTACTGTGTTTTGGACATTAAAATGGGGCCAAAGGTAGAATCCACTGAGATCAAAGTTCTTGACAAGCAGTCAGGAAACCTGAATGATTCTGTCCTTTGTGCTGCCAGTAACTAGCTGTGAGCTCTTGGGCAAATCACATATTCTCTCAGCTTCCATTACAGCATCTCTAATTAATTAATTTGAAAAAGTAGAGGAGGGATTCCTTCCAATTTTGCTATTATAAATTTCAGTTCAGCAAGCTTACTCCCACTGTTACCAATAAAAGTTTCAAAAGACTCCTCATTTAAGTAATTTACAACATAGTTCTGGTTAGACATGATGAGCTAAAAATGAAAGTTGGAGTATTAAAAGCAAAAAAAAAAAAAATGTATCCAAAAAACATGAAATACCCAAGGATAAAGTTAATGGATATACAGGATCTCTGCATTGAAATCTGTAAAACACTGCTGAGAAAAAATGAAGTAAATGGAAAAACATGTTTAATGGATTGGGTGACTTAATGTTGTTAAAGTATTAAGTCGATTTATAGATTCAGTGAATCCTAGTCAAAATGCACAAATCTTTTTCTGGGAGTAGTGTTAGAGATTGACAGACTTTATTTGGAAATGCAAAAGACCTAGAATAAACAAAGCTATTTGCAGAAAAAGAAATTAGAATGTCTGTTTTACCTGAGCTCAAGACTTACCAAGTTTTCACAAAAAGATAAACAGAATGGAACAGAAAACTAGATCCACAGATATATGGTCAAATTTTTTCATGCAAGGGCACCAGAACAATTTAATGGTGGAAGGAGAATCTTTGACAAGTGGTGCTGGAACCACTAAACATTCAGTAGAATGTTCAAAGGTACTTAATGCCTACCTACTTCATGGCATATAAAAATACTAATTCAAGGTGAATAACAAACCTGAATATTTGCTACAACTATTATACTCCTAAGAAAAATAAAACAGTATTTTCATTAGCTTGGGGTAGGTAACGACTTCTTAAAGAGCACACAGAAAGCATTAACTGTAAAACAAAAACTGATAAAGTGGATTTCACCAAAACTAAACCCTTCTCAACAGGTATATGGAAAAAACAAGCCATAGAGTGGGAAAAGATATTTGTGATACATCAATCTGACAATCCTTTATGTCCAGAATGCACAAAGGAATCTTACCCAATTAAAAGGAAAAAACCACATGAAAAGTACTCTCTATTAGTCATCAGGCAAATGCAAATTAAACCACCATGAGATACCACCACATACCCTGGAGCATGGTTAAAATGAAAAAGATGGACAATACCAAATGTCAGCAGGGATGTAAAAAACAACCAGAGTACAATGTGCTGGCAGGAATGGAAAATAGCAGTGGTTTTAGAAAACCGTTGGGCAGTTTCTTAAAAAGTTAAATATACAGCTACCATAAGACCTAGAAGTTCTACCGGTAGCTTTTTAACCAAAGAGAAATGAAAACATGTCCACAAATATCCCTGTACAAGAATTTTTGTATTTAGAATAGCTCCAAAGTGAAACAGCTCAGGGGTACATGAACAGAAGGATAGCTACGTAAACTATCATGCATTCAAACAGCACGAAACAATAAAAAGGAACAAACCAGGCTAAGCATGCTGGCTCACACCCCACAGCACTTTGGGAGGTCAAAGTGGGTGCATCACTTGAGGTCAGGAGTTCAAGACCAGCCTGACTAACATGGCAAAACCCTGTCTCTAATTAGCCGGGTGTGATGGCGCATACCTTTAATACCAGCTACTTGGGAGGCTGAGGCAGGAGAATTGTTTGAACCCGGGAGGTGGAGGTTGCAGTGAGCCAAGATTGTGTCATTGCACTCCAGCCTGGGCAACAAGAGTGAAACTCCCATTTCAAAAAAAACCAAAAAAGGAACGAACTGCTGATACAAGCACCGACACAGATGAATCTTAAAGACATCATGCTGAGTTACATAAGGCAAATGGTGCATGCTGTATGATTCCAGCTGTATGAGTTTGGGGATAAGGAAAACTAATCTGCAACAGAACAGGAGTGTGGTTAAAGGAGTGGACATTTGTCAAGCTTGATTAGACTGTATGCATTTAGATCTCTACATTTCATATGTAAATTATATCCCTCTTCTCTCCAAAACACAACAATAGTGATTAAAACTCTTGAGGTTAAGATTAAGGTGTTCAATCTAGCTTTTTAAATTCTGTAACAAATCAAATGTACAAGGTGGCCAATCTTGGACAATAAATACAATACATGGCTATTTTTCATTTTTATCAATTCAAATTGAGGTATGAGTTTAAAATGTATTTTTGATTAGTTTGCTGATGCTAGTCATCTTTCTCCCATCTATGTTGGTTCCATGGATTGGTACTTATTTCTTCTAAACATGCATAGGCCTCTATGGACTGAGCCACGTACCATCCCCATTACTGAGAACTATAATTCACAGTCTGACATTCTCTAAGTGATCTTTATAACACTTTAATACATTTTTCTTCTAAACTGAGGTTAGCTGGAAAAGTTTGAGATTCAACAATGAGCATCTGCCCTTCATCTACACCACTACTAGAGAAAGGTATTAATTACCTCTTAGTTTTCATGTGAAAACATTAAAACATAAGATCAAATGTGATTTCCCAACTAAAACTACTTGTAAATTTTGCATATTTCATAAACACCTCATCACACCAAAATATTGTTGAATTATAGTTAAAACTGGATTTCTAAACCATGAATAAAACCCAGTAGTACTATTTAGTCCTTCATAAATTTGATAGAAAAAAAATGAATGTTAACAGCTTTAGATAAGTGTAGCGCTAGCTGGCAGCCATTAATTGTTTGGCCTAATATTATGAAGGCTTTTCATGCTCTGTTTAACACATAAACAAAAAATGCCAATTTACCTTTACAAGTATATTCTGAAGGGCTTTTTTA